AATGGCTAGTCACATGCAGAAAGCTGGAACTGGATTCCTTCCTTATATTTTATACAAAAATTAACATGAGACCTAACACAATAAAAACCCTAGAAGAAAACCTAGGCAGTACCATTCAGGACATAAACATAGGCAAGAACTTCGTGACATACACCATGAAATACTATGCAGCCATAAAAAAGATGAGTTCATGTCCTTTGCAGGGACATAAATGAAGCTGGAAACCATCATTCTCAGCAATGGCAACAAAAGTAGTAACAACAAAAGCCAAAATAGACAAATGGGAACTAATTTAAAGAGCTTCTGCACAGAGAAAGAAACTATCAATGGAGTGAACTCACAACCAACACAGTGGGAAAAAATGTTTGCAATCTACCCATCTGACAAAGGGCTAATATCCAGAATCTACAAAGAACTTAAACAAATTTACAAAAAAAAAAAAAAAAATCCCCCATCAAAAAGTGGGTAAGGGATATGAAGAGACACTTTTCAAAAGAAGACTTTTATGCAGCCAACAAACATATGAAAAAACCTCATCATCACTGATTGTTAGAGAAATGCAAATCAAAACCACAACGAGATATGATGTTACTCTAGTTAGAATGGCGATCATTAAAAAATCAGGAGACAACAGATGCTGGAGAGGATGTGGAGAAATAGGAACACTATTACACTGTTGATGGGAGTGTAAATTAGTTCAACCAATGTGGAAGATAGTGTGGCAATTCCTCAAGAATCTACAAATAGAAATACCATTTGACCCAGCAATCCCATTACTGGGTATGTACCCAAAGGTTTATAAAACGGTCTATTATAATGACACATACACACATCTGTTTATTGTGGCACTGTTTACAATAGCAAAGAGTTGGAACCAACCCAAATGCCCATCAATGATCGACTTGATTTAAAAAAAAATTGTGCCACACATACACCATGGAATACTATGCAGCCACAAAAAAGATGAGTTCATGTCCTTTTCAGGGACATGGATGAAGCTGGAAACCATTATTCTCAGCAAACTAACACAACAATAGAAAAGCAAACACCGCATGTTCTCACTCATAAGTGGGTGTTGAATAATGAGAACACATGGACACGGAGGGGAACATCACACACTGGGGTGTGTCAGGGTACGGGGGGATAGGGGGAGATAGCAGGGGGTGGGGGGATTGGGGAGGGATAGCATTAGAAATAACTGTTGTGGATGGCAGGGTGATGGGTGCAGCAACACACCATGGCACGTGTATACCTACATAACAAACCTGCACGTTCTGCACATGTACCCCAGAACTTAAAGTATAATTTTCAAAAAAGATTTTAAAAATGGTGATCATTAAATAAATCAGGAGACAACAGATGCTGGAGAGGATGCAGAGAAATAGGAACCCTTTTACACTGGTGGTGGGAGTATAAATTAGTTCAACCATTGTGGAACACAGTATGGCAATTTCTCAAGGATCTAGAAATAGAAATACCATTTGACCCAGCAATCCCATTACTGGGTATATACCCAAAGGACTATGAATCATTCTATCATAAAGACACATGGACACATATGTTTACTGTGGCACTGTTCACAACAGCAAAGACTTGGAACCTATCCAAATGTCCATGAATATAGACTGGATAAACAAAATGTGGCACATATACACCATGGAATACTATGCAGCCATTAAAAAGGGTGAGTTCGTGTCCTTTACAGGGACATGGAGGAAGCTGGAAACCATCATTCTCAGCAAACTGACACAAGAACAGAAAATCAAACACCACATTTTCTCACTCATAAGTGGGATTTGAACAATGAGAACACATGGACACAGGAAGGGGAACATCACACACCAGGGCCTGTCAGGTGTCGGGGACTAGGGGAGGAATAGCAAGGGGATGGGGGCTATGAGAGGGATGGCATTAGGAGAAATACCTAATGTAGATGACGGGGTGGTGGATGAAGCAAACCTCCATGGCATGTTACGTGTCACCACCTATGTAACAAACCTGTACTTACTGCACATGTACCCCAGAACTTAAAGTACAAACAAAGTATCAAACTCTTGATACACTCACTAACACACACGCACAAATTTTTTTAAGGCAATCAAACAATATCACATGCTACAGAGACATCTTTAGTGAAAGGAAGAGCCAATTGATGTGGCAAACTTCACTGCTGTCTCGTTTTAAGAAATTGCCCAGCCACCTCACCCTCCGGCAACTACCAGCACCAGGCAAGGCCCTCAGCAAGCAAGATTATGACCTGCTGGCAACTCAGATGATCATTAGCAGTTTTTAACCCATCAACCATTTAAAACATTAATTTATATAATTGGGTTTTTAGACATAATGCTCTTGTATACTCAATGGACTATAGTACAGCATAAACATAACTTGTATATACACGGAGAAAGCAAAACACTCGTGTGACTCCTTTTATTGAGATACTTGTTTTCTTGTGGGGGTCTGGAATCAAATCCACAATAACTCTGAGGTGTGCCTGTAAATAATATATAATGTGTGCATGTGTGTGTGCACGCGCATGTGTGTGTGCATGTGCATGTGTGTGCGCACGTGTGTGCATGTGCATGTGTGTGCATGTGAGCGTGTGTGCACGTGTGCATGCCTGTGCATGCATGTGCGTGGGTGCATGTGCATGTGTGTGCGTGTGCGTGCATGTGCATGTGTGTGCGTGCATGTGCATGTGTGTGCATGTGTGTAACTCCAAGGACAAAGATGTCAAGACTTACACCAATCTATTAATAGGGAGAAGAAAGCCAGGGAGGTAATGTGATCTTCTACCTGTTTCTCTGTATACTTCTGTGTTATTTAAATGTATTACCACAAAGCATTTTTATATTCGCTGTGAGATTAGAAAAACAAAAATATTAGTATATATAACACTGCAGATTCTTCACCCCTCTAACTCAGTTATATTTTTAGTATTCTTTTCCAGCTTTACTAAATATTTCTATTTTTACTTATTTTCTATCTTCTTAGGCGTCACTTTTCCATATTACTACGTGTTAAAATAATTTTTTTCTAATATTTCATATTCTGAATAAGCCATAGTTTCAACTTTTTTCAATTGTTAACTATTAAATAATCTTATGAAAAATATCATCCACATTACATTTTCCATGTTTTTAAATTTTTTTTTTTTTTTTTTTTTTTTGAGACAGAGTTTCACTCTTGCTGCCAGGCTGCTGGAGTGCAGTGTGACGATCTCATCTCACCACAACCTCTGCCTCTCGGGTTCAAACGATTCTCCTGCATCAGCCTCCAAGTAACTGGGATTACAGGTATACACCACCACGCCCGGCTAATTTTTTATTAGGCAAAGCAATGTTACTTCTTGTGTTTTGAAGTCACTCCTCCCCAACTCCCCCCGGCCCCGCTTTTTTTTTTTTTTTTTTTTTTTTTTTCAAAATATGCATCTTTACGCCAACCAGGAATAAGAAAGGGGCCTATGTCTAAGACATTTATTTCTTAATGAACATCTGTATTTTTAGTAGAGACTGGGTTTATCTGCGGTCAGACTGGCCTTGAACTCACGACCTCAGGTGATCCACCCGCCTGGGCCTCCCAAAGTTCTGGGATGACAGGTGTGAGCCACCGCTCCCGGCCCTAAATTCTTTTTGTGCAAGAAAAGTCTTGAAATTGGATTACGCAATCAGAGGATATGAACGATTGTTCAGATGCATCTCAGTCTTCCGGTGAACGTGCAGGTCCGTGTAACACGTGGACGATCTCGTGCGCTCTACCTAATATGCTGGTTTCTGGTGCTCCACAGTGCTAATTCTGCAGAAACTACCCCTCTGCTGTTTGCAGATGTTACTCGTACACTCTTTCTTTTCCAAAAATGCCTTCAACACCTTTAGAGTGATAATGTTTTCTGAGAAACAACAAAAATCTTAAAAATATGCAGTACCGGCCGGGCGCGGTGGCTCAAGCCTGTAATCCCAGCACTTTGGGAGGCCGAGGCGGGTGGATCACGAGGTCGGCAGATCGAGACCATCCTGGTCAACATGGTGAAACCCCGTCTCTACTAAAAATTACAAAAATTTAGCTGGGCATGGTGGCGCATGCCTGTAATCCCAGGTACTCAGGAGGCTGATGCAGGAGAATTGCCTGAACCCAGGCGGCGGAGGTTGCGGTGAGCCGAGATCGCGCCATTGCACGCGAAACTCCGTCTCCAAAAAAAAAAATGCAGTACCTCTAAATATTCTAAAGCATTAAACACTTGTAAGAAAAAAGATATCAGAACTTTGTCTCCTTGTTATGGCCATGTTATTATTTTAACAGTAAGATCAAGGTTCATTGAACCTTAAAATAGTCAAACCAGATTAGTAAGAGTATTTTCCCCTTGGACTGAATTTTAATGAGTAGAGAAAATGCGACCTTGAGTTGAAAGCAGGTGCATTTGGAAACGGCAATGCGCCTATGTCGTCGATAGGTGGCGGAACAGGACCACATCAAACCCCTGCGGCTGGCGCACTGGTTTCTTTTTTGTCCCTCTGAAAGCTGCAGCTGTGGAGCCCCTGAGGACTTCAAAGTGACCAAAGCGCCTGCCTTTCACCTTTTCAAGAATCTGCCTCCTCTGATGTACCTAGGAAGAGACGGCTTCCTTTGGGGTCCCAGTGGTCCCCTGGAAGCTCTCCCTTGGGTCTTCACACAGACACCCCCTCCGCCCTGTAGCCCCCTGTTCACCCCACTGCCATGCAGGCTGATGTGTGGATGCTTCCCCGACGCCTTGGGGTAGGTAAGGACACTAGGAGCAGATGGTTAAAAAGTTAAGTTTCACGCTAAGTATGACTTCCTCCTATTTTGATATAAAAAACAACCAACCGACCTACCTTCCTTCCTTCCTTCCTTCCTCCCTCCCTCCCTTCCTTCCTTCCTTCCCTTCCTTACTTTCTGAATGAGAAGAAAGATCTCACTATGTCTCCAGCCTCCCTCCATCCCTTGCTCCATCCCTCCCTTCCTCCCCTCCTCCCCTTCCTTTCTGAATGAGATGGAAGATCTGTGTCTCCCAGGCTGGCCTCAAACTCTTGGGCTCTATCAATCTTCCTACCTCAACCTCCCTAATAGCTGGGACTACAAGCATGCCCACCACACTCATCTCTAAGGCACCCTTCACAGGAGGGCGCCTTGGGGTGCACACAACTCCTCACCCTTCTTTCCTGCTCTCAAATCCAGGCTTCTTTGTATAGGGCGGGAAAAAATGTTCTCTCTCCTTCTATCTCAGCCAGGCATCCTTCACCCAAGATACAGGAGACCCTTCCACTCATGGGATCTCATCCGGGGAGCATGCCTGTTCCCAGGCAGTGCATTTCCAAAGGACAGATTTACACTAACAAATCCTCAGTGGCTTTGTAGGTTGAATCAGCCACAGCTGTATCATCGTAAGACCCAAGGGTCCATGGCTGAGAGGGAGAGCCCTGCTGGCTTTGGCCCTCAAGGCCTCCCACGGTCCAGCACAGGTGGGTACACTCTTAGTATGGCTGCCTCAGAGATCCACCCATGGCTAGACATGCAGGGAAAGGTGGACTCGAACCCACAGACCTCTGAGCAATAAATGTTAATTTTTCTCAGAAAGTCGTCTCCATTTTTAGGAAGGAGGGGATATTTTCCTAACTTGCTAAGCAGAGGAGTTCAAACTTCACTTGATTAGGCAAAGCAATGTTACTTCTTTTGTTTTGAAGTCACTCCTCCCCAACTCCCCCAGCCTCGCTTTTTTTTTTTTTTTTTTTTTTTCAAATTATGCATCTTTAGGCCAACCAGGAATAAGAAAGGGGCCTATGTCCAACACATTTATTTCTTAGTGAACATTCCCTTCAGTACACAAAAGCTAGACTCCCTTAACTGTGAAGTGCCATCTCATAAGGGGTAGGTTCTTAGGGCTGTCCTCAGCCTCAGTCTGTGGGCACAGGGGAGTTGGGCAGTTTACAAAACAGAATGGGTGGACTGGATTGCCCTGTGCAGCCACAGATATCACACCATTGAAGGTGCGGGCTAAAAGAGAGAGCCCCATGTGTTAATAATTATCTGATAATCACAAAATGGGACGCCTGCCCAATACTCCAGCCACAGGAACTAAGAAGAGAATTTTTCATTTTTGAGGCATGGAACTACCCAGATCTGGACCTGAGGAGAGCCTGTTTCCATTAAAACAGCATTTGACAACCTGGTCATTTCAGTATGTGTGTTTGGCTCAGGTGAATGAAACTTAGCAGCACAAATTTCTCATTCATCCCTTTTGCATGAAAAAAAGGACCAGGGTAAATTTGCTTCCACAAAATGGGTCAAGTAAATTCTTCTAAGACCAAGCAATGAAGCAATGTTTCCAGGGGCCTCAGGCCAATACGTCTGTGGAAAAATAATTAAAATATCACTGGCCTCACAAGCCAGGAAGAAACGTTCTGCTGCCCTCTGGGTAGACGGACGCCATGAAGCATTAAGTCTGACTACGCGTTTGGGACTCGGTGATTAGGACGTTCGTGACCGTTGCAACAGTGAGTCTCGGCTGCCTAGACCCATCAGCTAGAGCACCCACAGCTCTGGTGCATCTCTGCAGAATTTACAGTGAATTCTGAAAACGGGACCTGCCTAATAACAATTATTATTATCTGATCCTTGTATACTCTCTTCTTGACAAAGTATTTATGAAGCCAGACATGCTTCAATAACATTACCCAGAAAATGTAGTGCTTGTGTTCCTACTGAGAAGAGGAGTGTTTTGAGCTGGGGTGGGTCTCATCTGGAGTGACTATTCTTATTAAAAGGACAAAATACCAAACTTGACGCTTACTTCTCACTAGTGATTCAAGCAGAAAAAAGGCAACTGGAAAGAAAGAGTGACCAGACTGAGAAAAAGCACTGCCAAACAGCCAAGCAAATGCAGGGACAAACCCATCCAGAATGAAAATTGGCCCTGCAAGGAGCAGTGCCACACACCCGGGCAAATACAGGGACAAACCCTCCCAGGGTGAAAATTCACCCTGCAAGGGGCAGTGCCACATACCCGGGCAAATACAGGGACAAACCCTCCAAAGGTAAAAATTCACCCTGAAAGGAGCAGTGCCACAAACCTGGGCAAAGAGAGGGACAAATGCGCCCAGGGTGAAAATTCACCCTGCAAGGAGCAGTGCCACACAGCTGGGCAAATACAGGGAAAAACCCTCCCAGGGTGAAAATTCCTCCGGAAAGGAGCAGTGACACAGAGCGGGGCAAATACAGAAACAAACCCTCCCAGGGTGAAGACTCACCCTGCAAGAAACAGTGCCACAAAGCAGGGAAAATACAGGGACAAACCCACCCAGGGTGAAAATTCATTCTGCAAGGAGCAGTGCCACCCAGCCGGGCAAATACAGAGACAAACCCTCCCAGGGTGAAAATTCGTCCGGAAAATTGCAGTGCCACACGGCTGGGCAAATACAAGACAAACCCTCCAAGGGTGAAGGCTCACCCTGCAAGGAGCAGTGCCACACAGCAGGGCAAATACAGGGACAAACCCTCCAAGGGTGAAAATTTGTCCTGCAAGGAGCAGTGCCACACACCCGGGCAAATACAGGGACAAACCCTTCAGGGTGAAGATTCACCCTGCAAGGATTAGTGCCACACACCCGGGCAAATACAGGGACAAACCCTCCCAGGGTGTGAATTCGTCCTGCAAGGAGAAGTGCCACAAACCCGGGCAAATACAGAAACAAATCCTCCAGGGTGAAGACTCACCCTGCAAGGAGCAGTGCCAAACAGCCAGGCAACTACAGGGACAAACCCTACCAGGGTGAAAATTCACCCTGCAAGGAGCAGTGCCACCCACCGGGCAAATACAGAAACAAATTCTCCCTGAATGAATATTCACCCTGCAAGGAGCAGTGCCACACACCCGGGCAAATACAGGGACAAACCCTTTCAGGGTGAAGACTCCCTTTACAAGGAGCAGTGCCACACACCCGAGCAAATACAGGGAAAAACCCTCCCAGGGTGAAGACTCCCTTTGAAAGGAGCAGTGCCACACACCCGAGCAAATACAGGGAAAAACCCTCCCAGGGTGAAGACTCCCTTTGAAAGGAGCAGTGCCACACACCCGAGCAAATACAGGGAAAAACCCTCCCAGGGTGAAGACTCCCTTTGAAAGGAGCAGTGCCACACACCCGAGCAAATACAGGGAAAAACCCTCCCAGGGTGAAGACTCCCTTTGAAAGGAGCAGTGCCACACACCCGAGCAAATACAGGGAAAAACCCTCCCAGGGTGAAGACTCCCTTTGAAAGGAGCAGTGCCACACACCCGAGCAAATACAGGGAAAAACCCTCCCAGGGTGAAGGCTCACTCTGCAAGGAGCAGTGCCACACAGCCGGGCAAATACAGGGACAAACCCTTCAGGGTGAAGACTCACCCTGCAAAGAGCAGTGCCACACACCCGGGCAAATAGAGGGACAAATCCTCCGAGGGTGTAAATTCGTTCTGCAAGGAGCAGTGCCACACACCCGAACAAATATAGAAACAAACCCTCCAGGGTGAAGACTCACCCTGCAAGGAGCACTGCTACACAGCCGGGCAAATACAGGGACAAACCCTCCCTGGGTGAAGACTCACCCTGCAAGGAGCACTGCTACACAGCCTGGCAAATACAGGGACAAACCCTCCCAGGGTAAAAATTCACCCTGCAAGGAGCAGTGCCACACACCCGAACAAATATAGAAACAAACCCTCCAGGGTGAAGACTGACCCTGCAAGGAGTAGTGACACACCCCCGGGCAAATACAGGGACAAACCCTCCCAGGGTGAAGACTCACCCTGCAAGGAGCACTGCTACACAGCCAGGCAAATACAGGGACAAACCCTCCCTGGGTGAAGACTCACCCTGCAAGGAGCACTGCTACACAGCCTGGCAAATACAGGGACAAACCCTCCCAGGGTAAAAATTCACCCTGCAAGGAGCAGTGCCACACACCTGGGCAAATACAGGGACAAACCCTCCCAGGGTGAAAATTCGTCCTGCAAGGGACAGTGCCACACAGCATGGCAAATACAGGCACAAACTTTCCCAGGGTGAAAATTCACACTGCAAGGAGCAGTGTCACCCACCCGAGTGAAGACAAAGACAAGCCCCCCCAGGTTGAAGACTCACCCTGCAAGGAGCAGTGCCACACAGCCGGGCAAATACAGGGACAAACCTTTTAGGGTGAAGACTCACCCTGCAAGGAGCAGTGCCACACACCCGGGCAAATACAGGGACAGACCCTTCCAGGGTGAAGGCTCAGTGTGCAAGGAGCAGTGCCACACAGCCCAGAAAATACAGGGACAAACCCTCCCAGGGTGTAAATTCGTTCTGAAAGGAGCGGTGCCACACACCCGGGCAAATACAGAAACAAACCCTCCAGGGTGAAGACTCACCCTGCAAAATGCAGTGCCACACACCCGGGCAAATACAGGGATAAACCCTCCCAGGGTGAAGACTCTCCCTGAAAAAAGCAGTGCCACAAATCCGGGCAAATACAGGGACAAACCCTCCCTGGGTGAAGACTCATCCTGAAAGGAGCGGTGCCACACAGCCGGGCAAATACAGAAACAAACCCTCCCAGGATAAAAATTCACCCTGCAAGGAGCAGTGCCACAAACCCGAGCAAATACAGAAACAAACCCTCCCAGGGTGAAAATTCACCATGCAAGGCGCAGTGCCACAAACCCGAGCAAATACAGGAACAAACCCTCCCAGGGTGAAAATTCACCATGCAAGGCGCAGTGCCACACAACCGGGCAAATGCAGAGACAAACCCACCCAGGGTGAAAATTTGTTCTGCAAGGAGCAGTGCCACACACCCGGGCAAATACAGGGACTAACCCTCCAGTGGGAAGACTCACCCTGCAAAAAGCAGTGCCACAAACCCAGGCAAATACAGGGACTAACCCTCCTAGGGTGAAGACTCACCCTGCAAGGCGCAGTCCCACACAGCCGGGCAAATACAGGGACACACCCTCAAAGGGTGAAAATTTACCCTGCAAGGAGCAGTGCCACTCACCCGGGCAAATACAGGGACAAACCCTCCCAGGGTGCAGACTCACTCTGCAAAAAAAAGTGCCACAGAGCCGGGCAAATACAGGGACAAACCCTTTCAGGGTGAAAATTAACCCTGCAAGGAGAAGTGCCACACACCCGAGCAAATACAGGGACTAACCCTTTTAGGGTGAAGATTCACACTGCAAGAAGCAGTGCCACAAACCCGGGCAAATACAGGGACCAACCCTCCCAGGGTGAAGACTCACCCTGCAAGGAGCAGTGCCTCTCAGCCGGGCAAATACAGAGACAAACCCTCCCAGGGTGAAAATTTACCCTGCAAGGGGCAGTGCCACACACCCGGGCAAATACAGGGACTAACCCTCCAGTGTGAAGATTCACCCTGCAAAAAGAAGTGCCACAAACCCAGGCAAATACAGGGACTAACCCTCCCAGGGTGAAGACTAACCCTGCATGGAGCAGTGCCACACACCCGGGCAAATACAGGGACAACCTCTCCAGGGTGAAAATTTGTCCTGCAAGGAGCAGTGCCACACAGCCGGACGAATACTGCGACAAACCCTCCCAGGGTGAAGACTCACCCTGCAAAGAGCAGTGCCACACACCCAGGCAAATACAGGGACAAATGCTTCCAGGGTGAAAATTCACCCTGCAAAAAGCAGTGCCACACAGCTAACCAAATACAGGGACAAACCCTCCCAGGGTGAAAATTCGTCCGGAAAATTGCAGTGCCACACAGCTGGGCAAATACAGGGACAAACCCTCCAAGGGTGTAGGCTCACCCTTCAAGGAGCAGTGCCACAAACCCGGGCAAATACAGAAACAAACCCTCCCAGGATAAAAATTCACCCTGCAAAAAGTAGTGCCACTCAACCGGACAAATACCGGGATTAACCCTCCCAGGGTGAAGACTCAACCTGCAAGGAGCAGTGCCAAAAAGCTGGGAAAATACAGGGACAAACGCTCCCAGGGTGAAAATTCACGCTGCAAGCAGCAGTGCCACACACCCGGGCAAATACAGGGACAAACCCTTTCAGGGTGAAAATTCACCCTGTAAGGAGCAGTGCCACACAGCTGTGCGAATACAAGAAAAAACCCTCCCAGGGTGAAGACTCCCTTTGAAAGGAGCAGTGCCACACAGCCGGGCAAATACAGGGAAAAACCCTCCCAGGGTGAAGACTCCCTTTGAAAGGAGCAGTGCCACACACCCGGGCAAATACAGGGAAAAACCCTCCCAGGGTGAAGACTCCCTTTACAAGGAGCAGTGCCACACACCCGAGCAAATACAGAGACAAACCCTCCCAGGGTGAAGACTCCCTTTGAAAGGAGCAGTGCCACACACCCGAGCAAATACAGGGACAAACCCTTCAGGGTGAAGACTCACCCTGCAAAGAGCAGTGCCACACACCCGGGCAAATAGAGGGACAAACCCTCCCAGGGTGTAAATTCGTTCTGCAAGGAGCAGTGCCACACACCCGAACAAATATAGAAACAAACCCTCCAGGGTGAAGACTCACCCTGCAAAAAGCAGTGCCACAAATCCGGGCAAATACAGGGACAAACCCTCCCTGGGTGAAGACTCACCCTGCAAGGAGCAGTGCTACACAACCGGGAAAACACAGAGACAAACCCTCCCAGGGTGAAAATTTATTCTTCAAGGAGAAGCGCCACACACCCAGGCAAATACAGGGACTAACCCTCCCAGGGTGAAGACTCACCCTGCAAGGAGCAGTGCCACACAGTTGGGCTAATACAAAGACAAACCCTCCCAGGGTGAAAATTCACCCTGCATGGAGCAGTGCCACACACCCGGGCAAATACAGGAACAAACGCTTCCAGGGTGAAAATTCACCCTGTAAAAAGCAGTGCCACACAGCTAACCTAATACAGGGACAAACCCTCCCAGGGTGAAAATTCGTCCGGAAAATTGCTGTGCCACACAGCCGGGCAAATACAGGGACAAACCCTCCAAGGGTGAAAATTTGTCCTGCAAGGAGCAGTGCCACACACCCGGGCAAAAACAGGGACAAACCCTCCCAAGGTGAAAATTCGTCCTGCAGGGAGCACTGCCACACAGCCATTCAAATACGGGGACAATCCCTCCCAGGGTGAAGACACTCTGCAAGGAGCAGTTCCACACACCCGGGCAAATACAGGGACAAGCTTTTCCAGGGTGAAAATTCGTCCTTCAAGGGGCAGTGCCACACAGCCGGGCAAATACAGGAACAAACTTTCCCAGGGTGAAAATTCACCCAGCAAGGAGCAGTGCCACCCACCCGGGCAAAGACAGGAACAAACCCTCCCATGTTGAAGACTCACCCTGCAAGGCACAGTCCCACACAGCCGGGCAAATACAGGGACACACCCTCAAAGGGTGAAAATTTACCCTGCAAGGAGCAGTGCCACTCACCCGGGCAAATACAGGGACAAACCCTCCCAGGGTGCAGACTCACTCTGCAAAAAACAGTGCCACAGAGCTGGGCAAATACAGAGACAAACCCTTCCAGGGTAAAAATTAACCCTGCAAGGAGCAGTGCCACACACCCGTGCAAATACAGGGACTAACTTTTTTAGGGTGAAGATTCACACTGCAAGGAGCAGTGCCACACACCCGGGCAAATACAGGGACAAACCCTCCCAGGGTGAAAATTTACCCTGCAAGGGGCAGTACCACACACCCAGGCAAATACAGGGACAAACCCTCCCAGGGTGAAGACTCACCCTGCAAGGAGCAGTGCCTCTCAGCCGGGCAAATACCGGGACAAACACTCCAAGGGTGAAAATTCACCCTGCAAGGAGCAGTTCCAGATACCCGGGCAAATACAGGGACAAACCCTCCCAGGGTGAAGACTCACCCAGCAAAAAGCAGTGCCACACAGCCCCGCAAATACAGGGACAAACCCTCCCAGGGTGAGAATTTGTCCTGCAAACAGCAGTGCCACACACCCGGGCAAATACAGGGACAAACCCTTTCAGGACAAAAATTCATCCTGCAACGGGCAGTGCCACACACCCGGGCAAAAACAGGGACAAACCCTCCCAGGGTGAAAATTCACCCTGCAAGGAGCAGTGCCACACACCCGGACAAATACAGGGACAAACCCTCCAAGGGTCAAAATTCATCCTGCAAGGAGCAGTGCCACACAGCCGGGCAAATACAGGGACAAACTCTCCCAGGGTGAAAATTCACCCAGCAAGAAGCAGTGCCACCCACCCAGGCAAAGACAGGGACAAACCCTCCCAGGGTGAAGACTCATCCTGCAAGGAGCAGTGCCACACACCCAGGCAAATACAGGGACACACCCTCCCAGAATGAAAACTCACCGTGCAAGGAGCAGTGCCACACAGCCGGGCAAATACAGAGAAAAACCCTCCCAGGGTAAAAATTCACTCTGCAAGGAGCAGTGCCACACACCCAGGCAAATACAGGGACAAACCCTCCCAGGGTGAAAATTCACCCTGCAAGGAGCAGTGCGACAAACCCGAGCAAATACAGAAACAAACCCTCCCAGGGTGAAAATTCACCATGCAAGGCGCAGTGCCATACAACCGGGCAAATGCAGAGACAAACCCTCCCAGGGTGAAAATTTGTTCTGCAAGGAGCAGTGCCACACACCCGGGCAAATACAGGGACTAACCCTCCAGTGTGAAGACTCACCCTGCAAAAAGCAGTGCCACAAACCCAGGCAAATACAGGGACTAACCCTCCTAGGGTGAAGACACCCTGCAAGGGGAAGTGCAACACAACAGGGCAAATACAGCAACAAACCTCCCAGGGTGAAGACTCACCCTGCATGGAGCAGTGCCACACAGTTGGGCTAATACAAAGACAAACCCTCCCAGGGTGAAAATTCACCCTGCATGGAGCAGTGCCACACACCCAGGCAAATACAGGGACAACCTCTCCAGGGTGAAAATTTGTCCTGCAAGGAACAGTGCCACACAGCCGGGCGAATACTGCGACAAACCCTCCCAGGGTGAAGACTCACCCTGCAAAGAGCAGTGCCACACACCCGGGCAAATACAGGGACAAACGCTTCCAGGGTCAAAATTCACCCTGCAAAAAGCAGTGCCACACAGCTAACCAAATACAGGAACAAACCCTCCCAGGGTGAAAATTCATCCGGAAAATTGCAGTGCCACACAGCTGGGCAAATAAAGGGACAAACCCTCCAAGGGTGTAGGCTCACCCTGCAAGGAGCAGTGCCACACAGCCGGGCGAATACAAAGACAAACCCTTCCAGGGTGAAAATTTGTCCTGCAAGGAGCAGTGCCACACACCCGGGCAAATACAGGGCAAACCCTTCAGGGTGAAGATTCGCCCTGCAAGGAGTAGTGCCACACACCCGGGCAAAAACAGGGACCAACCCTCCCAGGGTGTCAATTCGTTCTGCAAGGAGCAGTGCCACACACCCGGGCAAATACAGAAACAAACCCTCCAGGGTGACGACTCACCCTGCAAGGAGCAGTGCCACACAACCGGGCAAATACAGGGACAAACCCTCCCAGGGTGAAAATTCACCCTGCACGGAGCAGTGCCACCCACCGGGCAAATACAGAAACAAATTCTCCCTGAATGAATATTCACCCTGCAAAAAGCAGTGCCACACAGCCGGGCAAATACAGGGAAAAACCCTCCCAGGATGAAAACTCACCCTGCAAAATGTAGTGCCACTCAACCGGACAAATACAGGGACGAACCCTCCCTGGGTGAAGACTCAACCTGCAAGGAGCAGTGCCACTCAGCCGGGCAAATTCACGGACAAACCCTCCAAGGTGAAAATTCACCCTGCCAGGAGCAGTGCCACACACCTGGGCAAATACAGGAACAAACCCTCCCAGGGTGAAGACTCACCCTGCAAGGAGCAGTGCCACACAGGCGGGCAAATACAGGGACAAACCCTCCCAGAGTGAAAATTCACCCTGTAAGGGGCAATGCCACACATCCGGGAAAATACAGGGACAAAGCCTCCCAGGGTGAAAATTCGTCCTGCAAGGAGCAGTGCACACACTCCGGCAAATACAGGGACAAACCCTCAAAGCGTGAAAATTCACTATGCAAGGAGCAGTGCCACACGCCCGGGCAAATACAAGGAGAAACCCTTTCAGAGTGAAGCCTCACCCTTCAAGGAGCAGTGCCACACAGCCGGGCAAATACAGAGACAAACCCTCCCAGGGTGAAGATTCACCCTTCAAGGAGCAGTGCCACACAGCCGGGCAAATACAGCGACAAACCCTCCCAGGGTGAAGATTCACCCTGCAAGGAGCAGTGCCACACACCCGGGCAAATATAGGGACAAAACCTCCCAGGGTGAAAACTCACCCTGCTGGGAGCAGTGCCACATACCCGGGCAAACACAAAGACAAACCCTCCCAGGGTGAAAATTCACCCTGCAAGGAGCAGTACCACACAGCTGGCCAAATACAGGGACAAACACTACCAGGGTGAAAATTCACCCTGCAAGGAGCAGCGCCACCCCCCCCGGGCAAATACAGAAACAAACCCTCCCTGAATGAATATTCACCCTGCAAGGAGCAGTGCCACACAGTCGGGCAAATACAGAAACAAATTCTCCCAGGATGAAAATTCACCCTGTAAAAAGTAGTGCCACTCAACCGGACCAATACAGGGACAAACCCTCCCAGGGTGAGGACTCACCATGCAAGGAGCAGTGCCAAACAGCCGGGAAGATACAGGGACAAACCCTCCAAGGGTGAAAATTCATTCGGCAAGGCGCAGTGCCACACACCTGAACAAATACAGGAACAACCCTTCCCAGGGTGAAAATTCACCCTGCAAGGAGCAGTGCCACACACCCAGGAAAATACAGGGACAAACCCTTTCAGAGTGAAAATTCACCCTGTAAGGAGCAGTGCCACACAGCTGGACGAATACAAGAAAAAACCCTCCCGGGTGAAGACTCGCCCTGCAAGGAGCAGTGCCACACACCCGGGCAAATACAGGGACAAACCGCCCCAGGGAGAAGACTCACCCTGCAAGGAGCAGTGCCACACAACCGGGCAAATACAGGGACGAACCCTCCAAGGGTGAAAATTCACCCTGCAAAAAGCAGTACCACACAGCTGGCCAAATACAGGGACAAACCCTCCCAGGGTGAAAATTCGTCCGGCAAGGAGCAGTGCCACACAGCTGGGCAAATACAGGGACAAACCCTCCCAGGGTGAAAATTTGTCCTATAAGGAGCAGGGCCACACACCCGGGCAAATATAGGGAGAAACCCTTCAGGGTGAAGATTCACCCTGCAAGGAGTAGTGCCACACACCCGGGCAAATACAGGGACAATCTGCCCAGAATGAAAATTCCTCCTACAAGGAGCAGTGCCACACACCTGGGCAAATACAGGGACAAACCCCAGGGTGAAGACTCACCCTGCAAAAGGCAGTGCCACACAGCCGGGCAAATATAGGGACAAACCCTCCCAGGGTGAGAATTCACCCTGCAAGGAGCAGTGCCACCCACCCAGGCAAATACAGAAACAAACCCTCCCTGAAATTAATATTTACCCTGCAAGGAGCAGTGCCACACAGCCGGGCAAATATAGAAACAAACCCTCCCTGGATGAAAATTCACCCTGCAAGGAGTAGTGCCACTCAATCGGACAAATACAGGGACGAACCCTCCCAGGGTGAAGACTCACCCTGCAAAAAGCAGTGCCAAACAGCCGGGAAAATACAGGGACAAACCCTCACAGGGTGTAAATTCAGCCTGCAAGGCGCAGTGCCACACAACTGGGCAAATACAGCGACAACCCCTCCCAGGGTGAAAATTCAACCTGCAAGGAGCAGTTCCACACACCCGGGCAAATACAGGGACAAACCCTTTCAGGGTGAAAATTCACCCTGTAAAAAGCAGTGCCACACAGCCGGGCGAATACAAGAAAAAACCCTCCAAGGGTGAAGACTCACTTTACAAGAAGCAGTGCCACACAGCTGGGCAAATACAGGGACAAACCCTCCCGGGGTGAAAATTCGTCCGGAAAATTGCAGTGCCACACAGCCGGGCAAATACAGGGACAAACCCTCCAAGGGTGAAGGCTCACCCTGCAAGGAGCAGTACCACACAGCCGGGAAAATACAGGGACAAACACTCCCAGGGTGGAAATTTGTCCTGCAAGGAGCAGTGCCACACACCCGGGCAAATATAGGGAGAAACCCTTCAGGGTGAAGTTTCACCCTGCAAGGAGTAGTACCACACACCCGGGCAAATACAAGGACAGTCTGCCCAGAATGAAAATTTGTCCTGCAAGGAGCAGTGCCACACAGCCGGGAAAATACAGAAACAAACCCTCCCAGGGTGAAGACTCACCCTGCAAGGAGCAGTGCCACACACCCGGGCAAAGACAAGGACAAACCCTCCCAGGTTGAAGACTCACCCTGCAAAAGGCAGTGCCAAACAGCCGTTCAAATACAGAAACAATCCCTCCCAGGGTGAAGACTCACCCTGCAAGGAGCAGTGCCACACACCCGGGCAAAGACAAGGACAAACCCTCCCAGGTTGAAGACTCACCCTGCAAGGAGCAGTGCCACACAGCCAGGCAAATACAGGGACAAACCCTCCCAGGGTGAAGACTCACCCTGCAAGGAGCAGTGCCACACAGCCAGGCAAATACAGGGACAAACCCTCCCAGTGTGAAGACTCACCCTGGAAAAAGCAGTGCCACACAGCCAGGAAAATACAGGGACAAACCCTCCCTGGGTGAAGACTCAGCCTGCAAGGAGCAGTGCCACACAGCCGGGCAAATACAGGGACAAACGCTCCCAGGGTGAAAATTCACCCTGCAAGAAGCAGTGCCACACACCCGGGCAAATACAGGGACAAACCCGACCAGGTTGATAAGTCGTCCTGCAAATAGCAGTGCCACACAGCCGTTCAAATACAGAAACAATCCCTCCCAGGGTGAAGACTCACCCTGCAAGGAGCAGTGCCACACAGCCGGGCAAATACAGGGACAAACGCTCCCAGGGTGAAAATTCGTCCTGCAAGGAGCAGTGCCACACAGCCGGGCAAATACAGGGACAAACCCTCCCAGGGTGAAAATTCACTCTGCAAGGAGCAGTGCCACACAGCCGGGCAAATACAGGGACAAAACTCTCAGGGTGAAGACTCACCCTGCAAGGAGCAGTGCCACACAGCCGGGCAAATACAGGGACAAACCCTTCCAGGGTGAAAATTTGTCCTGTAAGGAGCAGTGCCACACACCCAGGCAAATACAGGGACAAACCCTTCCAGGGTGAAAATTCGTCCTTCAAGGAGCAGTGCCACACACCCACGCAAATACAGAAACAAACCCTCCAGGGTGAAGACTCACCCTGCAAGGAGCAGTGCCACACAGCCAGGCAAGTACAGGGACATCCCCTTTCAGGGTGAAAATTCACCCTGCAGGGAGCAGTGCCACACACCCGGGCAAATACAGGGACAAACCATCCCAGGGTGAAGACTCACCCTGCAAGGAGCAGTGCCACACAGCCGGGCAAATACAGGGATAAACCCTCCCAGGGTGAAAATTCACCCTGTGCTTACATTTTGTAAAGTTTATTACAGAAAGTAAAAACTTCTGATGAATATAATTGCAAAAATACTGTGAACTTACAGTGCTACACCAAAATGAAGATTTTTCTTTGACGCATGATTTGTTTTAGCATTTATTTGAGTTTAATCCCCTGTAGAATGAGAGTAACTTTGGACACAGAGGAGGTATGAACTGGACAGCCAGAGATGGACAAATGGGCTGTAGATAGAGAATACATCAGTACAGAAGCTGGTTACAGAACTGGACTGTCAGAGACACAGAGACACAAAAGGACACACAAATGGAAACACACATCAGGACAGAGCGGTGTTCCTTCTTATCGCCACACTCAGCGAAGGGTTTTCATTGATTTACATTGGAAATGAATGAAGAATTCATACTAAAATCTCCTGGCATCGTTTACCGTTTGTCATGTATCATGTTCAAAGTAGCTGTAAGGAAACCTACAACTGATTCTCATTGCAGAGTGTGGGTGTGATTTCACCTCCTGTGCTGGTGTTTGTAGGCTCAGGATTTGAAGAACCCCTGGGTGGTGGCTGATGAGATGATTCCTTTAGGGGACTCTGCCTCGGCACGGAGACAGATCCTGGGTCTTGGATGGAGCAGATCAGGTAAGGTGAGCAGCAGCTCCCGTTCCTTCCGCAGTGCCACGCACCCCATTTCCACAGAGCTCCTTCCCTCTGAGCCGGTTATAGCTCGCATTCAGTTTTTTCTTTCTTTGCATCTTGGAAGACCCCCACCATCCTCAATGCTCACCTCTGTGGCATCTGCAGCCTGCACCCTCCTTCTCCAAACCCCCAGCACACCACACAACCGAGCCTGTAGTTGATGCTGGCCATTTAAGGTAGGTTAGTGTTGACTCCTCTGCAAGCGCCAGAAGTCAGGGACTGCACCTGATATTCTGACACAGTGGCATTTTCAGTTACTCCTTAGCAGCCGCGCACGGTGGCTCACACCTGTAATCTCAGCACTTGGGGAGGCCGAGGCGGGCAGATCATGAGGTCAAGAGATCGAGACCATCCTGGTCAACATGGTTAAACCCTGTCTTTACTAAAAATACAACAAATTAGCTGGGCATGGTGGTGCGTGCCTGTAATCCCAGTTACTCAGGAGGCTGAGGCAGGAGAATTGCCTGAACCCAGGAGGTGGAGGTTTTGGTGAGCCGAGATCGCACCACTGCACTCCAGCCTGGGTAACAAGAGCAAAACTCCATCTCAAAAAAAAAAAAAAAAAAAAAAAAAATCCTTAGCAGTAACAGCTAGCATTTATCAACCTCTATGATGTATCAGGTGCCCTGTTAAGCATACAACATACATTGTTTCTTCTAAGAAACAAAGATTTTGTTCTATTTTGTCAATGAAAAACCTAAGGCTCAAAGAGCTAGGTAACCTGCCCAACGTCACACCACCCATACGCATCCACTCATGTCTTCTTCCACATGAGGGAGGTTTCTCTGGTGCCCTCTGCCTGGGTGTAGGGGAAAGCGGTTCCAGTGATTTCCTCTGGCCCCAGGACCTTTGCACGTTGGTAGAGTACTCCGGTGTGCCCATAAAACCTGTGCTTGCAATGCTAAAGGCATTTCTGGAGATGTGAGTGGTTAGTTGGGAGGGGAAGGGCTCAGGAGGCCTGGTAATGAGCTCCCAGAGCACAAGCACTGATTTAGGAGAAATGAGGACAGATGACTGGAAATCTGTGTCCCTTCCCATCCTGTATCTGCTGCCTTTTCTCCACTTAGGATACTTTTCTAAAAAATAAAACTGTCTAGGTTGACGTACATATGTGGATATTTTATTTTCCCAGCTGCAGCAAGAACAGCCTGGATGTTTCAGATTCTTGGGACTTTCAGAGATGGGTCATGTCAACAATGTTGTCCTCTCTTAGGATATCAAACAGCATTAAAGGTTTTCATTCAGAGGCTTCTCCTGACATATGGCGGGTTAGAAATATGACCCAAAGTATCCAAATCACAAACCTAAGAAAACACTACTACTGAATGTTAAATGATGATCATCTTACAGATGGGCTTTCCATTAACTTTCAGTCAATATTCTAAGCTTTTTAACAGTGACAATGACTAGTGTTTACTGAGTGTCCGTTACATGACCATTCTGCATATGTTATCTCCAGTCCTCACGGCAACTCTGAAAGATATGTACTATTCAACCCATTTTACAGACGAAGGCTTGCAGAGGCTCAGTAACATGCTCAGTAACATGCTCTGAGCCACAGCAGTGGCGGGCCCAGAACTGGGATCTGAAGTCATTTCATTTCAAATACTAAGTACTTTGCTGTTTTCTACCCACACAGCACTGTGACTGCTAGCCATCCTTTATATGAACATTCATCTAAATTACTAAACATGGCTTAAACCTACTTTCTCATGCTAATATGAATATATACATCTCTGTTCTCAGCAGAAGACACAAGAGTATGGGGATCAGAAAACCCTTGAATGTTGCAGGCTGCCCCAGTGCAATCAGACTTCAGAAATATGACTCATTTTATTTATTTGCTTATTTATATTGAGACAGAGTTTTGCTCTTGTTCCCCAGGTTGAAGTGCAATGCTGTGATCTCAGCTCACTGCCACCTCCACCTCTTGGGTTCAAGCACCTCTTCTGCCTCAGCATCCTGAGTAGCTGGGATTACAGGCATATACTACCACACCCAGCTAATTGTGTATTTTTAGTAGAGAACAGGTGTTTCTATGTTGGTCAAGCCGGTCTTGAACTCCCAACCTCAGGTAATCCACCCACCTAAGCCTCTGAAAATGCTGGCATTACAGACATGAGCCACCACACCCAGCCAACTCATATTATTTTTGGACAATATGCATAAGTCACAATAATATACTCTTTTTTTTTCCCAAGGAAGGATGTTTAATAAGAATAAAGAAAGGAGGATCAACTCAATGAAATAAAGCAAAAAGATTAGAAAAAAAAAAAGAGTGAGAAGAAAGGAACGAAGACTCCAAGAAATATGGGATTACGTTTAATCTGTGCATGTGCAAGTGACCGGGAGAACGAAACCAAGTTGGGAAATACTCTTGCGGATATCATCCAGGAGAACTTTCTCAACATAGCAAGGTAGGCCAACATTCAAATTCAGGAAATACAGAAAACACCACAGATACTCCTCAAAATAAGCAACCCCAAGACACATAATCATCAGATTCACCAGGGTTTAAATGAAGGAAAAAATGCTAAGGGCAGCCAGAGAGAAAGGTAGGGTTACCCACAAAAGGAAGCCCCTCAGAATAACAGCAGCTCTCTCTGCAGAGACCCTACAAGCCAGAAGACAGTGGGGGCGAATATTCAACATTCTTAAAAGAATTTTCAACCCAGAATTTCATATCCAGCCAAACTAAGCTTCATAAGCAGAGGAGAAATAAAATCCTTTATGGACAAGCAACTGCTGAGAGATTTTGTCACCACCAGCCATGCCTTACAAGAGCTCCTGAAGGAAACACTAAACATGGAAAGAACCAGTACCAGCCACTGCAAAAACATACCAAATCGTAAGGAGCATTGATACTATGAAGAAACTCCATCAACTAACAGACAAAACACCCAGCAAGAATAATGCCAGGATCAAATTTGCACATAACAATATTAACCTTAAATGTAAACGGGCTAACTGCCCCAATTAAAAGACGCAGACTGGCAAATTGGATAAAGAGTCAAGACCCATTGGTGTGCTGTATTCAGGAGACCCATCTCATGTGCAAAGACACACAAAGGCTCAAAATAAAGGGATGGGAGAAGATTTACCAAGCAAATGGAAAGGAAAAAGAAAAAAGCAGAGGTTGCAATCCTAGTCTCTGATAAAACAGACTTTAAACCAACAAAGATCAAAAGAGACAAAGAAGGGCATTACATAATGGTAAAGGGATCGATGCCTCAAGAAGAGCTAACTATCCTAAATATATATGGACCCAATGCAGGAGCACCCAGATTCACAGAGCAAGTTCTCAGAGACCTACAAAGAGATTTAGACTTCCACACAATAAGTAGTAGGAGACTTGAACACCCCACCATCAATATTAGACAGATCAATGAGACAGAAAATTAACAAGGATATCCAGGACTAGAAGTCACGTCTGGACCAAGCAGACCTAAGAGACATCTACAGAACTCTCCGCCCCAGATCCACAGAATATACATTCTTCATTCTTCTCAGCACCACATTGCACTTATTCTAAAGTTGACCGCATAATTGGAAGTAAAACATTCCTCAACAAATGCAAAAGAGCGGAAATCATAACAAACAGTCTCTCAGACCACAGTGCAAGCAAGTTAGAACTCAGCATTAGGAAACTCAGTCAAAACCACACAACTCCATAGAAACTGAACAGCCTGCTCCTGAATGACTACTGGTTAATTAATTAAATGAAGGCAGAAATAAAGATGTTCTTTGAAACCAATGGGAACAAAGATACAACATACCAAAATCTCTGGGACACACTTACAGCAGCGTGTAGAGGGAAATTTATGGAACTAAATGCTCAGTAGAGAAACAAGGAAATGTCTAAAATCAAAACCTTAATGTCGCAATTAAAAGAACTAGAGAAACAAAAACAAATTCAAAAGCTAGCAGAAAACAAGAAATAACTAAGATCAGAGCAGAACAAAAGCTGATAGAGACATGAAAAACCTTCAAAAAAATCAACAAATCCAGAAACTGGTTTTTTGAAAAGATCAACAAAATAGATAGACTGCTAGCCAGACTAATAAAGAAAAGAGACAAGAATCAAATAGATGCAATAAAAAATGGTAAAGGGGATTTCAACACTGATCCCACAGAAATACAAACTACCATCAGAGAATACTATAAACACCTCTGCACAAAATAAACAGAAAATCTAGAAGAAATGGACAAATTCATGGACACTTACACCCACCCAAGACTAAACCAGGAAGAAGTCGAATCCCTGAACAGACCAATAACAGTATTTGAAGTTGAGGCAGCAATTAGTAGCCTACCAACCAAAAAAAGTCCAGGACCAGACAGTTTCACAGCCAAATTCTACCAGAGGTACAAAGAGGAGCTGGTACCATTCCTTCTGAAACTATTCCTCACAAAAGGAAAAGAAGAAATCCTCCCTAACTTATTTTATGAGGCCAACATCATCCTGACACCAAAACCTGGCAGAGACACAACTGAAAAAGACAGTGTCAGGCCAATATCCCTGATGAACATTGATGTGAAAGTCTTCAATAACATGCTGGCAAACCAAACCCAACAGCACATCAAAAAGCTCATCCACCACAATCGAGTCAGCTTCATCCTGGGATGCAAGGCTGGTTCCACATACGCAAATCTATAAACATAATCCATCACATACACAGAACCGAGACAAAAACCACTTGATTATCTCAACAGATGCAGAGAAGGCCTTCAACAAAATTCAGCAGCCCTTCATGCTAAAACTCTCAATAAACTAGGTATTGACGGAACATATCTTCAAATAATAAGAGCTATTTATGAGAAACCCACAGCCAATATCATACTGAATGGGCAAAAACTGGAAGCATTCCCTTTGAAAACCGGCACAAGACAAGGATGCCCTCTCTCACCACTTCTTTTTTTTTTTTGAGATGGAGTTTTGCTCTTGTTACCCAGGCGTGAGTGCAATGGTGCGATCTCGGCTCACTGCAACCTCCGCCTCCTGGGTTCAGGCAATTCTCCTGCCTCAGCCTCCTGAGTAGCTGGGATTACAGGTATGCACCACCATGCCCAGCTAATTTCTTTTTGTATTTTTAGTAGAGACGGGGTTTCACCATGTTGACCAGGATGGTCTTGATCTCTTGACATTGTGATCCACCCGCCTCGACCTCCCAAAGTGCTGGGATTACAGGCTTGAGCCACTGCGCCTGGCCCTCTCTCTCACCACTTCTATTCAACATAGTATTGGAAGTTTTGGCCAGGGCAATCAGGCAAGAAAAAGAAATAAAGGGTTTTTAATTAGGAAAAGAGGAAGTCAAATTGTTTCTATTTGCAGACAACATAATTGTATATTTAGAAGACCCCATATTCTCAGGCCAAAATCTCCTTAAGCTGATAAGCAACTTCAGCAAAGTCTCAGAATACAAAATCAGTGTGCAAAAATCACAAGCATTCCTATACACCAATAACAGAAAAAAAGAGAGCCAAATCATGAGTGAACTCCCATTCAAAATGGCTACAAAAAGAATTAAATACCTAGGATTACAACTAACAATGGACGTGAAGGATCTCTTCAAGAAGAACTACAGAACACTGGGAAAACATTTTGTGCTCATGGTTAGGAAGCTACCAGTGACTTTATTCACAGAATTGGAAAAAAACACCTTAAATTTTATATGGAACCAAAAAAGAGCCCACATAGCCAAGACAATCCTAAGCAAAAAAAACAAAAACAAGCAAAAAAAAAAAAAAAAGAAAAAGAAAAAAGGAAAAACAAAAACAAACAAAAAACAAAGCTGGAGACATCAGGCTACCTGACTTCAAACTATACTACAAGGCTACAGTAATCAAAACAGCATGGTACTGGTACCAAAACAGAGATATAGACCAATAGAACAGAACAGAGGCCTCAGAAAGACCACCACACAACTAAAACCATCTAATCTTTGACAAACCTGACAAAAACAAACAATGGGGAAAGGATTCCCTGTTTAATAAACGGTGTTGGGAAAACTGGCTAGTCATATGCAAAAAAGCTGAAACGAGACCCCTTATTCACATCTGATACAAAAATTAACTCAAGATGGATTAAACATTAAAATGTAAGACCAAAAACCATAAAAACCCAAGAAGAAAACCTAGACAAAACCATTCAGGACACAGGCATGGGCAAGGACTTCATGACTAAAACACCAAAAGCAATGGCAACAAAAGCCAAAATAGACAAATGGGATCTAATTAAACTAAAGAACTTCTGCACAGCAAAAGAAATTATCATTAGAGGCCGGGCGCGGTGGCTCACGCCTGTAATCCCAGCACTTTGGGAGGCCGAGGCGGGTGGATCACGAGGTCAAGAGATCGAGACCATCCTGGTCGACATGGTGAAACCCCGTCTCTACTAAAGATACAAAAAATTAGCTGGGCATGGTGGCGTGTGCCTGTAATCCCAGCTACTCAGGAGGCTGAGGCAGGAGAATTGCCTGAGCCCAGGAGGTGGAGGTTGCGGTGAGCCGAGATCGCACCATTGCACTCCTGCCTGGGTAACAAAAGCAAAACTCTGTCTCAAAAAAAAAAATTATCATTAGAGTGAATAGGCAACCTAAAGAATGGGAAAATTTTTTGCAGTCTACCCATCTGACAAAGGGCCAGTATCCAGAATCTACAAAGAAATTAAACCGATTTACAAAAAAAAAAAAATCAAAAAGTGGGTGAAGGATATGAACAGACACTTCTCAAAAGGAGTCATTTACGCAGCCAACAAACATATGAAGAAAGCTCATCATCACTGGTCATTAAAGAAATACAAATATAACCACAATGAGATACTATCTCACTCCAGTTAGAATGGCAATCATTAAAAATCAGGAGAGAACAGATGCTGGAGAGAATGTGGAGAAATATAAACACTTTTATACTGTTGGTGGGAGTGTAAATTAGTTCAACCATTGTAAAAGACAGTGTGGAGATTCCTGAAGGATCTAGAAACAGAAATTCCATTTGACCCAGCAATGCCATTACTGGGTATATATCCTAAGGATTATAAATAGTTCTGTTATAAGAACACATGCACACATAGGTTCACTGCAGCACTGTTTACAATAGCAAAGACTTGGAACCATCCCAAATGTCTATCAATGATAGACTGGATAAAGAAAATACGGCACATATACACCACAGAATAATATGCAGCCATAAAAAAGGATGAGTTCACATCCTTTGCAGGGACATGGATGAAGCTGGAAACCATCATTCTCAGCAGACTAACAAGAACAGAAAATCAACCACCACATGTTCTCACTCATAAATGGAAGGTGAACAATGAGAACACATAGACACAGAGAGGAGAATACCACACATCAGGACCTGTCAGGGGGTCAGGGGCTAGGGGAGGGATGGCATTAGGAGAAATAACTAATGTAGATGATGGGGTGATGGATGCAGCAAACCGCCATGGCACGTGTATACCTATGTAACAAACCTGCACATTCTGCACATGGACCCCAGACCTGAAAGTATAACAAAAACATTAATCAATTTAATCAGGGGGAATATGCTAAGCTTTTAATAAGCACTGTCTCATTTAATCACCAAAAACAGCTCCTGTAGAATTGGTATAGATGGATAGTATGACCTCAAGCAAGTTACTGAGTCCCACTGAGCCTCAGTTCCCTGGTCTGCAAAATGGTGATGACAGTATGTGCTTCATAAGGTTTTGATGATGACGATCAAAGTGAATAATCCACATAAAGCGCTTAGTCCAGTGCCTGAAGCAAAGTAAAAGCTCGGGTGGTGTCTGCGCTTGTCCCTATTTTATACTTCAGGAGCCTGAGACCCACAGAAATTAAGTATGGCGCCCAGAGCCACATCGCTGAGATCTAAACCTCAAAGTGAAATTCACTAACCGCTGTTATTCTGAAACTACACTGCTAAGCCACTCTGCTATCTTATTAAATAATTTTACTGAAATAAAGTTATTTCAATTAATTAATTATTGAAATTGTGTCTTTTGTCCTCTGACTCTACTGTCTCTGAAGATAACCTCTGCTGGTTAGAGCACAGGGCTCCAAAGACCAAGGCTAGCTACCATGTTCATCACCAGCCATCCTGCAACCCCAAAGGAAGATGGATGGAGGGGCTGTGGATGAATCCATGCATGTCCATCACTGATACCAGGAACCCGTCCCAACGGTACTGATAGTAGCCCTAGTTAGAGTGACCCTGAGTTCTGGTGTGCCCAAACCAACCTCGGTTTATTGCCCGTCTTCCGGTACAATTACTAACAGTGCCCTCTCACTCTCAAAAGGTCTTGGTCTGGACCAACAATTATATGGCCACTCTGCCCACAGCAATATCTTTTTTGTTCTTCTTGCCCAGGCTGGAGTGCAGTGGCAGGATCTCGGCTCACTGCAACCTCCGCCTCCCGGGTTCGAGCGATTCTCCTGCCTCAGCCTCCTGAGTAGCTGGGATTACAGGTGCCTGCTGCCACGCCTGGCTAATTTTTGTGTTTTTAGTAAAGATGGGGTTTCACCATGTTGGCCAGGCTGGTCTCACACTCCTGACTTCATGATCCACCCCCACCGGCCTCCCAAAGCGTTGGGATTACAGTGGCGTGAGCCACCGTGCCCCGCCGGTAGTGGTTATTACCTTTAGCAAACAAACAGCAGCATGTTCTCATCTGCTGCCTCCTTGCTTCTGTTCACAGGCTGTCAACAGACACGTCTCGTACCCTGGGACTTTCTCCCCATCCCGCATGGCTGATTGCTTTAAATCTCAGCCTTTTCTCCTTGAAATTCTCCCCTCCATGCTTTCTCAGTTTTTCCTGGCTTTAGACACTTGGCTACGATATGGCCTTTAAAGATGCTGGCTGGAGTCCGTAGCTTGGCCCCACCCCGGCAGGCTGGCAAATCACTTCATCTTTCCCCAAGCCCAGGTGTTTGTAAATGCAGAGCAGAAGAACGGGCTGGGTCTCAAGGGGTTCTAATCATATTGTGCTTGGAAAATGTCAGCTCCCCATTAGTCACACGATTACCACTTTGTGAGAACGACAAAAAAGCGATCATGGAATAGTCCAACGCAGCTGAGCCTGTGGGGCACCAGTTCGCATGAGCATGACTAAGGATCCTGGGTGATGATACAGAAAAGCATGAACACACGATTTCCCTCCTGTTAGAGCAGGAGGGAGGCTGAGCTTAACCACGCAAATCGGGGGAAGCCTGTGGGTATGAACTGGGAGTGGCATTGCTGGTCCCCTGCCTGACACTTGTCAAGCTACCTAGGGTTCTCCTGCTGCTCTCTCGTGGTCTGAGAGTTTTTCTTAGCTTCTGAGTAGGTACTGTTAAATCTCAGAGCCCCTGAGTTCCCCTTAGCTCTTCAAGGAGCCCTAATGCAATATCCCCCAACCTGCTTTCCTGATAAGGTGCCCCAAGCTCTGGACTTGTTACCATCTCTCCTATGCCTCATCTAGTAGGTCACTGCGCTTTGCTGGCTATTACCTTCGTGGTGTGACTCATCAGTGTGGAGGGTGCTGTTGGCATTACCTGGTGGTGTGACTGATCAGCGTGGTGGGCAGGTGTTGGCATTACCTGGTGGTGTGACTGATCAGTGTGGAGGGCAGGTGTTGGCATTACCTGGTGGTGTGACTGATCAGCATGGAGGGCAGCTGTTGGCATTACCTTCGTGGTGTGACTGATCAGTGTGGAGGGTGCTGTTGGCATTACCTGGTGGTGTGACTAATCAGCATGGAGTGCAGGTGTTGGCATTAGCTGGTGGTGTGACTGATTAGCGTGGAGGGCAGGTGTTGGCATTAGCTGGTGGTGTGACTGATCAGTGTGGAGGGCAGGTGTTTGCATTACCTGGTGGTGTGACTGATCAGCGTGGAGGGCAGGTGTTGGCATTAGCTGGTGGTGTGACTGATCAGTGTGGAGGGCAGGTGCTGGCATTAGCTGGTGGTGTGACTGATCAGCGTGGAGGGCAGGTGTTGGCATTAGCTGGTGGTGTGACTGATCAGCGTGGAGGGCAGGTGCTGGCATTAGCTGGTGGTGTGACTGATCAGCGTGGAGGGCAGGTGTTGGCATTAGCTGGTGGTGTGACTGATCAGTGTGGAGGGCAGGTGCTGGCATTAGCTGGTGGTGTGACTGATCAGTGTGGAGGGCAGGTGTTGGAATTAGCTGGTGGTATGACTGATCAGCGTGGATAGGTGTTGGCATTAGCTGGTGGTGTGACTGATCAGTGTGGAGGGCAGTGTTGGCATTAGCTGGTGGTGTGACTGATCAGCGTGGTGGACAGGTGTTGGCATTACCTGGTGGTGTGACTGATCAGCGTGGAGGGCAGGTGTTGGCATTAGCTGGTGGTGTGACTGATCAGTGTGGAGGGCAGGTGTTGGCATTAGCTGATGGCATGACTGATCAGCATGGACAGGTGTTGGCATTAGCTGGTGGTGTGACTGATCAGTGTGGAGGGCAGTGTTGGCATTAGCTGGTGGTGTGACTGATCAGCGTGGTGGACAGGTGTTGGCATTACCTGGTGGTGTGATTGATCAGCGTGGTGGGCAGTGTTGGCATTAGCTGGTGGTGTGACCAGCGTGGAGGGCAGTGTTGGCATTAGCTGGTGGTGTGACTGATCAGCATGGAGGGCAGTGTTGGCATTAGCTGGTGGTATGACTGATCAGCGTGGAGGGCAGGTGTTGGCATTACCTGGTGGTGTGACTGATCAGCGTGGTGGGCAGTGTTGGCATTACCTGGTGGTGTGACTGATCAGCGTGGTGGGCAGTGTTGGCATTACCTGGTGGTGTGACTGATCAGCGTGGTGGGCAGTGTTGGCATTAGCTGGTGGTGTGACTGATCAGTGTGGAGGGCAGTGTTGGCATTACCTGGTGGTGACTGATCAGTGTGGAGGGCAGGTGTTGGCATTAGCTGGTTGTGTGACTGATCAGCTTGGTGGACAGGCGTTGGCATTAGCTGGTGGTGTGACTGATAGGGCTGGTGGACAGGTGTTGGCATTACCTTCCTAATATCTCCTCTAATCGTAAGGGCAGCTGAAGTTTTCCTTGCTTCAGGTACCCTTACAGTTAGAGGAGATATTAGGAAGGTAATATCTTATTAGGAGGTAACAGCCCCTCCCTCTCTCATTGTATGTGGTTTGGGTAGGGTTGACCCTGCTTGCCTCATCCATCAGTGTCACAGTGGTTGGTTTTTGAAAGACCACATGGCTCCATTTCAGTCAAAGGGACACAGTCTTGAGATCTGGGCTGGGATGACAGGGAAAGAGCCACTCCTTCCTTTGGGTTGCTAAGTGAGTAAGAAGTTACCAGCGGCCATCCTTGTACCCAGGCAATGAAGCCAACAGAGAAAACCTAGAGCTAGCAAATGAAAAAAGGATTGCTGATGACACTGTTCTGACACCTGATCTACCTGAGCTTCAAGCCATCTATGATAATGATTGAGGCAATTACATTCCGTTTAACTGAAAGAGGCTGGTTAATGCGACACGAAAATTCGTGCTCCTTCTCAGGAGGTTTGCGTTTTAGCATTAGACAGGTCTTCAATCCAAATAGATGAATTTGTGTGGTAGAATTTTAGTCATTCTTGTTAAGTGGAGGCAGCCAGAATATTTTGAAGTGGGGTTAAGAACCAGGGACACTCACACCCTGCCCTATCTACCGATGACTGGCTCACCTGCCTGGCACCGAGACTTCCCCAGCTCAAAGGACTGACCCTGTTGGCCCAAAGGAGCTGCTTGGGTGGCTTCAGACCTGAAAGGCAGCCAGCCCTGTGTGATGCCTCTATGAGAGAATGTTCCCGAGATCCATTCAAAGCACTTCTCCTTAACACCAGCAGGTGTAAGCTCTGCAGTAAGAGTGAAGAGTCGTCGCTAAGTGAGAATCAGCTATGATGGCAGCTCGTCCTAGAAACGTCACATCTCATCCTGCCTCCGTGTGCTAGCCTATCCAAGTTTAGCTTTCAGTCAGGCAGTTGGACTCAGCAGGAAGAGTCTCTTTTTCTGAAAGCTAAAAGGGCTCTTCGGCCGTAAGTTAAATAAGCCTAGAGGGTCTAATGCACAGCAAGGTGACTCTAGTTAACGATACTGACTTCTATACTGAAATTTTGCTCAGAGTAGATTCTAAATGCTCTCTGTCACGTGCACACACACACGCACACAGATGGGAACCACGTGATAGATGTGTTAGCTAACTTGATCATTTCACAACATCTAGGTACATTAAATGTCACATTGCACACCTTACATTTATACAGTCTTGTCAACTACGCCTCAATAAAGCTGAACACGAAAAAGAAATAAGCACAGTTTTTTTGATGTGTGGTTAAAAAAGCAGTTTGCAGGCCGGGCGCGGTGGCTCACGCCTGTAATCCCAGCACTTTAGGAGGCTGAGGCGGGTGGATCACGAGGTCAAGAGATCGAGACCATCCTGGTCAACATGGTGAAACTCCTTCTTTACTAAAAATACAAACAAACAATTACCTGGGCATGGTGGCGCGTGCCTGTAATCCCAGCTACTCAGGAGGCTGAGGCAGGAGAAGTGAGCCCAGGAGGCGGAGATTGCGGTGAGCCGAGATTGCGCCATTGCACTCCAGCCTGGGTAACAAGAGCGAAACTCCGACTCAAAAAAAAAAAAACAAAACAAAAGCAGTTTGCAGAGTAATAGATGTAGAGTTATTACATCTGTTTAAACATCTAAGTCTGTCTTTCTATCTGTACATGAATAGTCTGGGAACAAACATCCCAGTACAAAGGAAAAAACGCTCTTCCGCTGACAAGCGGCAGTGGGACTGGGGCTTGGTGGTGGCTGGCGGAGCAGCAAAGATCAAGTCACATACCAGACTGACCTCTCTTTTCTTGTTTGTTTGTCGAGAGCGGCTATCCTCCTTGTTCTCTTTGAAAGAAGATCGTCTTCCGAAGGCGGAGAAATCCAGGCTCTCCAACAGCCTCTCTCCGTGGCTGGGACCCACCAGAGACTGCAAGGATGAGAAACAAAACCAAATCTCAGAGGAGTGGAAGAATCCTTTTCACGTGGACCTTAGTTACATTCATTAATGGTTCACACATGAGTTCAGCCCCATGTTTTCATCTGTAGGATTGTTTTCAGTTGAGCTCTAGAAACAACCCCGAGACCAGGATTCCAGTGTAAGTGATTTACTTAGAAAATACTTCCAGGTGAAGCCAGATAGAGGGGAAAGAACACAAGTGGAGTGCCACCCCCAGGCAAAGGGCCAGCCTCAGCCTGATCCTAGAGGGGAGCTCGGGGCAAATTATGCCTCTGAGTTGTCCCCACTCAAGGCAGGGGAGCTGGGCTTTCAGACGCCTGCAAGGGCGGTTGGCAGTCTCTGGTGTAGGGCTGCCCTGGAGGAAGGGAACCCGCAAAGCCCCGGGTCCTTCTGGCTCTCCACACCTGTGAGCAAAATGATTCCAGAGATAGAGGGCCAAGGAAAAGTGCGCAGGGCAGGTGAAGGGGAAACAGCACACAGATACGGCACTGGAAGGACGGAAGGCGCCTGGGCTGAACAGCAAGAGGGCTATGTCGGTCACGGTTCTCCAGAGAAACACAAACAATAGGATGGATAGATAGATAGTTATATATTATGAAGAACTGACTCACACAGAGAGTCCCATAATTGGCCACCTGCAAGCTAGAGGCACAGGAAAGCTAGCAACGTAGTCCAGTTTGAGTCTGAAGGCCCAAGAACCAGGAGCTTCAGTGTCTCAGAGCAGAAGTTTGATGTCCCCAGTCACACAGAGGAAGAATTCACTCTTCGTCCAACTGTTTGTTTTATTCAGGGCCTTAACGGATTAGAGGACATCCAGCGACATTGGTGAGGGCTCTGTTCTGTACTCAGACTGTTGACGTAAATGCTGATCTCTTCTGAAACTGCCAGGCCCCCATTTGCAAGCCTGGAGCCTGAAAGTCTGAAGTCCTGCTTGCCTCCTGATCACGTCCCACCCCCCGCCTGCATCCACCATTGTCCCTGACCATCCAGCGGAGCTGCCCTGACAAGCCCTTCACCCCGCCCTGCCGTCTTAACTGTCCTTGTGATAATGTGAATACCTCTCACCCATCCTGCCATCCTAACTGCTCTTCTGCCTCGCCCCCACCCACCGTCTTAACTGAACTTGTGGTCATGCATGCTCCTTGCCCCTACCCCGCCCCCACTGTAACTGATCATACTCTGCAACACCCCTGCCCCCCAAAAAACTACCCCAACCTGTAAAGTCAATTCCCACCTTACCCCTTCACCTGTCCTTTCGTGGATTGGGCCCACGTGCCCCCAAGGGAGAAATAAAACAGCCCTGTTGCCCACACAAAGCCTGTCTGGAAGATCTCCTTATGAAATGCATTTAATATCCAGCACTATTGGACGTGAATAACAAAAACGTCCTCATAGACACACCCAGAAATGATACATTCCCAGCAATCTGGGCATCCCTGAGCCCAGGCGAGTCAGGCTTAAAATTTATCATCACAAGTGCTTATCAAAGACATATCATAGAGGACCACAAAATCCAGGGTGCTGGGCTCACCTATCTGGGGATAATTAACCAGCTCATAAAGATATCCCTTCTCTGAGGACTATGACCATCACCTCCACCTGATAACTTTCGACCCCCGATTCCACACACACGCACAGTTCAACCCTCCACAGCTGAGTTCATTTGCCTCCCTGACCAGCTGAGCCCAGGAGATTCCTCCTCCTAAGAATGTGCTTTGGAGATGAAGAACATCACATTCCGTCTGGCTGCTGGCTTGGACTGGGCTGGTGTGGACGTAGAAACCGAGGTCACTATTGTGAGGCGGCCAAGCTTAGGCAGAGATCTAGTGCAACAGTCAACCAAGCCCCAGAGAGCAAAAAGGGCCTACGACCAAATCCACAGTTGATGAGTATCCAGTGTTGGCTGTGCGGCAGGCTTTTTTTTTTTTTTTTTTTTTTTGAGACAGAGTCTTGCTCTGTCACCCAGGCTGGAGTGCAATGGTGCAATCTCAGTTCACTGCAACCTCCACTTCCCGGGTTCAAGCAATTCTCCTGCCTCAGCCTCCTGAGTAACGGGAATTACAGGTGCATGCCACCGCATCCGATTAATTTTTGTATTTTTAGTAGAGACAGAGTTTCACCATTTTGGTCAAGCTTGTCTTGAACTCCCGACCTCGTGATCCACCTGCCTCAGCATCCCAGAGTTCTGGGATGACAGGTGTGAGCCACCGCACCCGGCCGAACAATAGTTGCTCTTATCCAAGGTACAGGACACTCAGGCCTGTAGTGGTTTAGCAGATTATCTAAGGTCACACAGCTTTAAAGGGTGAGCTCCGGAGTTAGTCCTCTGATTTATCTCCAGAGCTGTGTGCTGCCCATAAGGCCAGGAAGACAGCTGAGTGCTCAGAAGCCCAGAATAGACTTCGTGGGTCCTGAGAGCAGGAGAAGGTCTGGCAGAGTCGGACGGAGTGCTGCCTGGGTTCCCAGTGGCTGTCCTCACCCTCAGATAGCCATCTATACACTGGCCTTGTTGTAACACACCTACCCCTTTTTGTTTTTCATAAATGATAACGTGGGGTTTTGTTTTTGCTTTTTTGTTTGATTTTAGAGAGACTCTCACTCTGTTGCCAAGGCTGGGGTGCAGTAGCATATCACAGCTCACCGCAGCCTTGAACTCCTGCACTCAAGCAATCCTTCAACCTCAGCTTCCCAAGTATCTGAGACTACAGGCATGTGCCACCATGCCTGGCTATTATTTTTAAAAATTGTTTGTAGAGACAGGGTCTTAATATGTTGCCCAGGCTGGCCTTGAACTCCTGGCCTCGGCCTCTCAAAGTGTTGGGGTTACAGGCGTGAGCTGATCGTGTTTTTGTAAATGTCAGTTTCTACCTGTTCACTCTAGTGTATAAGGAGGTGACTGACTTCTGTGGAATAATCTTGTATCCTGTGTCCCTGCTTATTAGTTCCAGCAGTTTTCTTGGTTCTTCTGGATTTTCTACAGAGACAATCACATTATGTGCAAATAAAGGCAATATTATTTCTCCCTAATCTGTCCACCTTTTGTTTCCTTTTCATCCCCCCACCTAAAAAAAGATCAGTTTATAGTTGGAGTGGATTTTTTTTGGCTTGCAATTAAAAGACCCTTAGTGAGGACACCACTTTTGACGAAATGAAAAATAAATGGAAGTTTGTTTTCGGTTCTTTCCAACTTCCTAAGTTTCCTTTTCTACTCCCACATCCCAGGTTTGAGGCACAAGGGTTTCACCCTGATCGGGCTCTAGGGTCAGAACAAGCAAAGCTGGGTCCTGCCATACCAACCAGCAGCTGCACCGCTCATCACATCCCTGCTACAGCCTCGCCTTTTTGCCCTGTGAAAGTGAGTCAAAATCTCTTCAACAGAGAAAATTCCCTCAAGAGAGATAAGCCTTTTTAGGTGTGGGTGGAACAATGAGGAACCACAAATTCTAAGAATTGTTCAAGAAATCATGCTTTGTGGGGGTCCAAAGTGGCTCCCGCCAGAGGTCATGGTGCTTGCGAAGGCGAGGTCATCAGTTCAAGGCTAACCTAAGCAACCTCATAAGCTCAAACTGATTGCCAAAAAAAAAAAAAAAAAAGAAATCATGCTTTGTGTTGTATTTAAATTATGTCAAGTGGCTTTATTTTCTTTCTACTGCGGCACTGTTTACAATCGCAAAGACCTGGAACCAACCCAAATGTCTATCAACAATAGACTGGATAAAGAAAATGTGGCACATATACACCATGGAATACTACGCAGCCATAAAAAATGATGAGTTCGTGTCCTTCATAGGGACATGGATGAATCTGGAAACCATTCTCAGCAAACTGACACAAGAACAGAAAAGCAAACACCACATGGAATCACTCATAGGCAGGTGTTGAACAATGAGAACACATGGACACAGGGAGGGGAGGATCACACACTGCGATCAGTTGGGGGGGTATAGGGGAGGGACTGGAGGGTGGAGAGGGTGGGGAGGGAAAACATGGGAAGAAATACCAGACATAGGTGATGGGGGGAGGAGGGCAGCAAACCACCTTGCCATGTGTGTACCTTTGCAACAATCCTGCATGATCTGCACATGTACCCCAGAACCTAAAGTACAATTTTAAAAAGTTATACCTTTAAAAAAAAATGGCCAAAGTGTTCTCTAACAAGAGAATATGAACAACGTGTAGAGTGGAAAAGAAAATACCAAAAGGCTGATCACGGACTCATCTGGAGTTTAGGTGAGATTTAGTTTCCTATAATAGTCACATTCCACGGCCAACTGAAGCGACGTACTTTCCTACCACAAACACGTATTACAGGTTTTATAGCGGACGAAGCAAATTTCATCCTCAAACTATTAAATATGAAAGGGAAGCTGTAGTCATGATGATAAGAAATAGGACGTATAGATTTAAACGTAAGATCTTCAACCCTTCTGCCTAGTCACCCTGTTCATAACACTCTGAATGGAAGATACACGTGCTGTAATGCATAGACATGTAACAGTGAGTATGTAATAGTCACTAGAATGCAAAATATCTTTTAATCTTTATTTTTACTAAGCAAGAAAGTTTCAACAGAGCAGTTACATTCTTCAAAAATTTACATCAGCAATTATTCAGTTCTTCTTATCAAAGACAATTGTAGTTTATATTTCTTTTTTTTTTGAGATGGAGTTTCACTCTTGTTGCCCAGGCTGGAGTGCAATGGCGCGATTTTGGCTCACCGCAACCTCCGCCTCCTGGGTTCAGGCAATTCTCCTGCCTCAGCCTCCTGAGTAGCTGGGATTACAGGCACGCGCCACCATGCCCAGCTAATTTTTGTATTTTTAGTGGAGACGGGGTTTCACCATGTTGACCAGGATGGTCTCGATCTCTTGACCTCGTGATCCACCCGCCTTGGCCTCCCAAAGTGCTGGGATTACAGGCATGAGCCACCGCGCCCGGCCTGTAGTTTATATTCCTAAAATTAAGGTTAA